CCGGCATACGCAGCGATGAGCTCGTGTAATTGTAACCCGGAATCGGTCTTCAGCATACGCAAACCTGCGTACTCCGCGGCATCCTTGATGTCTTCCTGGTACAAAGCAGGCAAAGCAGGGAAGCTCTGTATCGCCGATACGGGAGATCCAAGTTTACTTTCCGCCATCCTCGCCGTTGCTGTTAGCATCTTAGCTAATACTGCTGCGTCGGCAGAGGCGGCCAGACCGAGCTTCTTTCGTGCACTTCGCCAGGCTCTTCGTGGTGCGTCATTCCACAAGTCTTCCATGCTGCCGTAGGGTTCGCTGTAATTTACATGGTCAGTAATGGTATGCATAAGTACAATGATCCGAAACCCACGTTAGATGCACCGAAGAGAGCAAAGAGAGGCGTTGCATCATCTTCACATACGCCTTCGATGCCTCCATTCGGCCCAGGTTTTCGAAAGTTCCGTCCGGCCATCGAACTGCTGCTGTTGCATGATTTGCAGTGAGCGAAATACCAACTACTGGCAACTTCGATGTGGGCTTTTCCCGGAGCTCAACTGCGACGGCCTGAGCGTATGAGATGGCAAGGCGGATTACTACGACACCCACGAGGACAGACAGTATTTTGAACATATTGCTTGAGTAGTCAAAGACACGATACTCAGGTGGGTGAATAAGTAAGTGCATCGTGTTCGCAGGCTGGAGATGGTGAGAAGTCGCGACGTCAAGCGGCACAGTAATGGCTGCTGCCTACATCCAGACGCGGGGTACGTCTGTTCTACTTCACACCCTGCTGACTTTACCCTCAGCCTCCTATCTCTCTCCGAACCCGACATTATGGTATGTTTTCGTGGAATCTCATCATAACATCGATTTTGCTGCCATTATGTGACTACGTCATCCTCATCCCACCCCTCATCCGCCAATAAAGTGTCGCCCTTACCGATCTCTTGGACGATATGATCCACCACGATTATCTCCCCATCCACCACGCTGCGTTCCACTCCTTTGATCTGTCTGCCTTGGCGACTCATACTCCCTCCTTCCATACACTGAGCGAGGCGCATATGCGGAAGAAGGTGATGGCGTACCCCAGGCACGGTCGAGGTACATAGGCTCAGGCGTTCCATGGGACTGTCTCCCCAACGCTTGCGTCGATGAACCTGCAACGCGGTAACCAAGTGGCCCACCATTCGGTGGCTGCGAAACAGATGTTCTCCTCGGTGCTGGAGCTAGGGTACGCAGTGCTTCAGCCGTGAGGCTTGTTCGGGGGACCGGATGAGACTTTTCTGCGCTATCCTCTGCTCGATCAATTGGTCCGGGCTTCTCTATCATCGCTTGTAGTTGTTGCGCTTCCACATTCCGCAACTGTTCTTCTGGCTCCACATCCTCAGCTACTCTTGCAGCCCACTTAGCTTCCAACATCTTCTTCCCCTCCGCGGTCACACGCTCAGTCATCCGGTTCTCGGCTTTCTCGATACCCAGTTTGAGCGCCTCGCCCATGACGCTATGGAGGGCAAGGAAAGGGACCGTGAGGACGTGGCGGAGCTGGAGTTGGTAGTCGAGCTTGACTTCGTGGTTGTCTAGGTTCATGTACAGTCGCGACCTCTTCTGCGCTTCATCTCCTGTTCCTGTAGAAGTAAATCTAGCTGGCTCGTAGTACACCTTCCGCTCCTCAAACCTCCCCTTCTCTTTCCACTCTTTGAGCGCATTGCAATCTAGATTCTGCGGTCCATACCGCTTGAGCGGTATGCGAAGCGCGCGAATCAGTGCTTGGGTATGCAGGACGTTCAACTCAAGCTTTGGCGTAAAAGAGTCCCGGACATGGAGATACCAGCTTAGACACTCGGTAAGGCCGCGTGCATCAAGACCAGACGGTAGATGGTTCAGACCACCCAGGAGATCACTGAATGTCGGCAAGACGTAGCCGCTGCGTCTGTCCGCGATGTATCTGCCTGGCTCCAGGTGGTCGGTGTGTAAGTTGGCATCATGCTTCCCGTTGATAGTGTCCGTCTTGAAACCCTCGATGATCTTCTTGACGGAGTCGCGTTGGAACTGGTTCATGACTGCCGCCGTAATGTCCGTTGTTGGGGGACCGCGGAAGAATGCCTGTGCGTTGTCAGCTACAAACTATCTCAGGGCAATCAGAAAGACGAAAACGTACCTGCATACCCACGATGTCTGCTCCGCGATAGTCGTTGTTCGCTAGTCGAACCATCATGCTTTTCCACCGGACGTGATGGGGGTAGTAGGCCATGACTTCTTTGGCGGATAGAGGTACTCCAGGGGGGAGCAGAGCGTCTACGGGGACTGCGTCGTTGTACCATGTATAATGCACCCCGAGATCCTTGCCTACGAATCCGGGTTTCTGTAGAACGCTGCGAACTGCCCGCATGTTGAAGTCTTTCGTTTCGTCTACCCATGGGCGCTGGAAGGGAGGATATGTGTGTACGGATTCGCCCGAATGCGACATGTGCGGTGTGTAGAGCGAGGCTGCGGTGCGAGCCGTGGCGGGGGTATGAGGATCGAAGGGCATGCTGAAGTTCGCAGGTGTGTCGGGTATTTGTTGGAGATGCATAGGGCCTGGTGTCGATACAGCCGGAAGCGCATCTTCTATGATGAGTCTGCCTGAGAAGCGCAACCTGACGGTCAAGCTATAGGTCTGGTAGTCTGGCTCTTCGCCCTCTACATCATCATGGCTGATCCGCTGGCGCCTTGCTACTGACATCCATACGTTCTTTTTCGGAGTCTTTGACTTCGACTTCCTCTTGAATGCTCGGATCTTTACGGTGGCTTTCGGGATATCCGAGAGGGCTCTCTTCTTTGCGCTTTTTGGAGTTGCCGACACCGGGGCGCTTACATCGACCGCTTTGATGTCGCCATAGCTCTGCCCACTGCCACTCCGACTCCTGCTCTTTCCCGGATCGGCGACCTGATAGTCGTAGTCCATGTCGTCCCACGCCGACCGATCGTTGGGCGCGGTTTCGTTATCATCGTGTTGGAAAACGCCGGTCGCATAACGCCAGTCGCGGCTTTTGGGAACCCAGGTAGAATGTTTCTGCGGACGGGATTGGCGCGCGAGGATATCTTCTTCTTTCATGGTCGTGATAGCGAAGTAGGTCGCGAACTTTTCCGTTACTGTCGGGCTATCGTGACGCTGGGTCGACGTTCGTGGAACGAGGAAGAGTTGGGTGAGTTGAGAGAAAAGATTCTGGAGATCGCGATCGTGAATGGCACATGACGCACTGGTAAACACGGGCCCATATTCGCGTATCAGGCATTTTGGCAAGTGAAGGTGGAAAAGACGCGTGAATGTCGTCCAGTGGCCGCCTACATACCCTTGGACATATACTGCCCATCGCCATAGAGTGAAAGGAAGCCATAACGATGCACAGGCAGTCTCTGACAAATGCCAGAACTCAGATGCCAATACGCATGACAATACATATTATTGTTGGCGCTCCGCAGAGCGACCACTGACCCTACCTCGAACTCCGACAAATCTTCGCTAAGAACTGATAGATTGAAAGGTTATCTGTTTCTTCTTCTTCAAATTTTTGAACGAGAAAGAAATACGTGGACATAGGAAACCGCGAGATGTGAACAGATGACCGAACAGACCAAGAACGAGATGTGGCCAGGTAGACTTGAAATGTAAGTCATCGACGAATATTGTCATTTTACAAAACAGGCCAAGCAATCTCGTTGATTGGGCTATCGTCATCGCAGGCCACCGTATAGCATACTCCCGGGCTCGCGCTTCCGGAGTCCTCTAGGGCTTTTCATGTGAGCTTTGCTTGCCGAGACATCAGTCCAGGCTGTGCGCTGGAACTTCATGACACCAATCGCAAAGGTATCGGCATCCCATCAAAGGATAAATGCGAGAACAGGTATGATTAATGAACATTATGAGCTGATGTTGTCTTCGATGAAGCGGACCCGCGCGAAAGCAAGCGCTTCCGCAACACGGGCCAATCACAGCACCCCTACGTCATTATCCTGCAATATCCGAGGTCCATCATCAGCACCATAACACCGCGTCCAGCAGCGCGTTGCTACCATCAGACTATCAAACCTCTCTTCCAAAAGCCATCATGAGCACAAAATTCATCCCAACGCTAACCCTCGACGGTGCGCGCATCGCCCTCGCCGCCGCCGAGCAGCGCTCCAAAGAAATCAACGTACCAATGAACATCGCCATCATGGACAACGCATGCCATCTCCTAGCATTCGCCCGCATGGAAGGCGCAAAACTCACATCCATCAACATCGCCATCGACAAGGCTTTCACAGCTGCAGGTCATCGCGCGCCGACGTCTGTTTACAAAGACAATGTGTATCCTGGTGGGCCGGCGTATGGCATCAACCACAGCAATGGGGGCAGGTTTATGACGATTGCGGGCGGCGTGCCGATTGTGAAGGATGGAGTTGTTGTGGGAGCGGTGGGGTGTAGTACGGGGTTGCCGAGTCAGGATGAGGATGTTGCGAAGAGGGGGGTTGAGGCTGTGCAGAAGAGTTTTGGGGTGAAGGCGAAGCTGTGAGTTGGGTCAGAGAGGACGGATGAAGAGAAAGATATGAACGATGCAGCTGAGTCGTTGTGTCCTTGCAACAGACGACCGAATTTACGTCTTTGAACGCGATACTCATTTGCATCTAGTGTCATCCAAATTCCCATTGTATTTCGGCAAGCTATGAGTTCCTCCTCCCACTAATTCTGACATATACGATCGCAACACTTCTCTACCTGCGATGAACCGGAGGCTTCAGACTCATCACACCGAAACCATTCGCATTCGCATCCCTAGGATGGTTTCTGACACTGCGAATAGTACTCGTCGACCTTGAAGCAAACCAGGCCCTGGTTACAAGTCGTCGAGCCCTGCCACGTCTGCCCACCGCACTGGTCATAGAGCTGTACCGGACCCGTAGCCACTGGTGAGGCAGGCCTAGTTGTTGTCGTGCGCCGGGTGCGAGTGAACGGCGGTGCTGGTTGAGCAGGCGGAGTGGATGTAGGTCTAGCAGTTGTCTGAGTTCGCGTGCTGGTGGATCTCTGAGATGAGACCGGTGGCTGACATTGCGAGTAATCTACAATAGGTCAGTAAGAGATTCGGGATGGCACGCATGACATGATCGAAGCAGCGCGACTCACATTCATCGACTCTCACGCACACCGAGTCCTTGCATGTCCTGGGACCAGTCCAACCATTCCCGCCGCATTGGTCATACGGTAGGCCGATGGTAGGTGCGGCACTAGCAGAGGTTGTAGTCGTTGGAGTTGTTCTTGTGTTAGCTGGGTCCGCGAGGCAATAGTACGAATTCTCGTCGACGTAGGTACAGACGGTGCCTCCTACGCATCGGGTGGGACCTTTGTAAGACTTGCCACCACATTGACCTCCCGGTTGTACAGTACCAGAAGATATGGGGGCGGATGTTGTAGGCGTCGGCGAAGGAGTATTCTGCCCCGGAATTGGGTCATCGTTGCGGCGGCAGCCAGACACGCCAGACAAAGCTTCAGGGCACTTCACCTTCTCCCAGTTGACCGAAGGATTGTCAGCTCCTCGAAACCAGTCGAACCGCCAGTAACAGCCAGCTTGCAGCGCAGAAGGGAGGGCGTCGCAGTCGTCGCGATGCGCTACGCCACCATAGTCTTGACCCCAGACATCCGCGCCGCCATATTGCTTCGTGCATCCTTGGGTAGAACCTTCACCACCACCAGGGATGGCAATGTTGAACTGATCCTCTCCTAGATCAGACCCGGTGTTCGTGACTTGGACGATCATCTTCTTTCCGTTGACTGGCCCGGAAGTAAACGTCAGACTAGAGTCGGTCAGTCACTGCTCGTTCATCAAATTGAAGGAACATACGAGTAGCAAGAGCAACACCACGCGGATTCGTTCGAAGCTGCAAGATTGACTGCGGCGAAGCCATACGCCAAGTCGTTACTCGCAGCCCATGGGCTGAGATCAGAGCATGCATATGAGCCACCGCCACTTTCGCAGCCGTCGCGCCTGTTGTAGTTGTCGAGGAGATTGTCGCTCGCGTCGCACGTCAGGACTGGCTTGTCGACAAGAGCTTTGCCGGGCCAAGAGCAGGAGTTCTTGCAACAGGACCACTGACGAGTGGTTGACCCGGTGCCTTGGACGGCACTTCCAGCGCCGTAGGCAAAAGCGAAGAAGGTCGACGTGACAGCGGAGAGAAGAAGAATCCGCATCTTGGAATTTGGTTTATGATACTGCAAAATGAAGAAGACTGTTTGAGCAAGCCGGGACGATGTTATGAAGATGAGCTTATAATCGACGAAACATGAAGCTTTTATAAACCTTCATCGGGTTATGCTCTCTGCTCTGGCTGTTCTACAAGTTCGTACGGCATAACACCTGCCAGGTCCCTGCTTCGGGTATCTGCACGATCTAGCAGGAGAACTTATCAGATCATTGCTATTCCCAGGTACTTGATTGCGCACACGGGAAGATTGTTGGTGCTCATTTACTGACGATGTTCTTCCGCTGTCTGTTGAGAAGCGCTGGAGCGCTACTATTCATAGAAGCTGCCAGTGTAGTTTGGTAAAACAGACAACTATATGATCTGGTGACTGTCGGCAGATACATACACGCCACTTCACGACCTTGGAGCCACTCTGTTCGTTGTGAGTTGTTTTTGTGCATGCTCAAGATAGACCTGTGGTGTAGTCGCTCCTCGCCCCCTTGTTACCCGCCTGGAAGAACGCTGTTGATGATCATTCTAACCCCATCCGTGCGGACACGATTGATTACTCTCGTTTCTGGACCGCGAAAGCACGGGCTTTCTTCCGTACAAGGTAGCTCTTCTTCCGATACCCATAGAGCCGGTAAGCCACGAACCAGATTTCAACTTCGATCTTGATTGAACTCCGTCTTCCATAGGACCCATGTGTTGTACCAGATTGAAGACCGAGATTTTTGTTGGGACCTCTGTTTCCTGGATTGTAGGTGTGGCAATCGCGAATGTTGCCTTCTTCAGAAATCTGTGGCTTTTGAGGTACGGCACAGATGTGGGTACATAGTGCCGCGAGAGTAGATCACTATGGCGCACTCGTCCAGGGGCCTGGGGCAAAATCCAAGTTTACTATACTGTCATGGGCCCAGCGAACCATGTCTGTGAGAAAAAGCACCTTCCTCAGCACGGGCACGAACAGCGAGATCTCCTTGCGCGTCGATCTGCCTACGACCGATCGACTGGTAGTCCGTTCAGGGTGTCCTGGTAAAATCCGAGCTCGCTTTCACGTGCGACTGCAGGCGGCTCTATATAACCGGCGATTCATCTATCTAGTCAGATGATCAAAACCGCATACACGTCAGTCACCGAGCGAGGGCAACTTTCACGATTCGGCCCGTGAAGAAATCGCAGAATTTCGGAATGTTTGAGTGAAACAGAAGCATCGTGACTTGGGCCAAGGTTGGCTCACGAGGTGTCGACAGGCATGTGTCTTGTAGGGACAGGCGTCCAAGGCCCCTAAGCGGGGGTAACGCCGTTGTGCTGCCGGCGCTAGGGTCGTAGCGGACCGCAGGAAGGCCCAACCTTAGTGTCACTCCTGACATGCACAATGCGCTTCCTATACCTCCAAGAATTCAGATAAGAAAATCCTACACGAATGACCGGTGAAGCCATGAATTTGGCATCAATCAATCGGCTGATGCTGGCACATCACTGATCCTTTCGGCGCTACCCGCGCTTCGAATTCTCCGACTTCAGGCATTCGTGGCAGGTTGTGGGGAACGTCGATCGCCTACGACACATGCACATTAGCCCACGTCCTGAAAGAATTTGTCGCCTTACGTCTCAGGTATCAATAGCCAATCACGTCCGCTCGCATCATCGTCCATTGGCTAAGCGACGGCGTATATACCGCTTTATCTACCTCCGAAACAGGGTGGACTGGTCGAGCAAAATGCGGTCGGACCGTCTCGTAGGGACTATCATACACAGCTGTGATTCAGGGTCTGTCATAATAATATGGCAACAGCCGCGTCACGTTGCAGACTAGCTGTCCCTCCATCTTTTCCCCGTTGCAAACGTTGACTGACAGCTCGGCACAAACACCTGCATTTAACACTTTGGACCCCTGGAACCAGAGGAATTTTAGCTACTGAACTTGCGACAAACCTCGCTGCGAAATCGGAACAACATGGCTGGCATAGCTTGCGTATGGGCGAATATCCCAGAGGGACGCGAAGAGTGGTACGAGAACGTACACCTACCTTCACTGAATCCACACAACGCAAAGCATGCTTTACATTGCGAAGTAACAGCGAGTGGTATGGAGAATGAGCCAGTGGGAAGGTTGGACGCGCCATGGCCTTACATGACCGTATGGGAAATAAAGAGTGTCGACCAAGCCAACAAAGACATGTACGACGCACAATACCATCCACCAAATGCCGATTTGCAGGCTTCGCTCAAAGGCCTACTTCTTGATCTTCGGTCCTATCGGGAAATCAAGAGTTGGAAACAAGACGACTGGTCCGGTGACGGTGGTGGTAAGATCACGGGTGCGGATAAAGCCGGCGATGACGGACTAATGTCGATAGACATCGAATACGTCGCAAGCGTGGCGGCAATGGAGTGGAGCGTACCAGCCGACAAGGAAGAGGAAGTCATGAAATACTACAGAGAAGTCGTCGGCCCCACAATATCTAGTTCACCAGACGTACTGCGGTTTCGCCTCTTCGAGGTTGACAACGCAACAACGATGCAGGGCGGAAAGTTCGAGACCAAAGACAAGAAAGAGCTACACAGATACTTTACTCTCGTCGAGCTAGAGTCTGAGCAGTGGCCATGGGACGTGGTCGTCGATCTCGCGGAGGACAAGGAATGGAAGGACTATTTCGAGAGTCAGCAAGTAGTGGTACGTTGACGATCAACCCTCGTGGAACTTAGAGTTACTGACAAAATTCAGAAATGGCAACTTAGTCACTACTTGATGAAGAGGGCGTATGGCGTACCGGAAAGCAAGGCCTCTGCATCGAGCTAAAGGCTGGAAACGCTAGATCGGCCAACGCATTGGTTAAGGGATAGTATCTTCGAACCGAGCGAAGCTTCTTCTCACGCAATACATCACTTGAACCATGAAATCACAGCATCGACAAACCGAGACGGTGCATTCAACAAGCTAACATATGCGCACGCGCATCTGCGTTTGACACCAGAGACGCACTATGTACAGCCTATCCGCATCGCTCGCCTGTTGATATTCGACTTCGCCCAGCCTTTGCACCACATGTATTGGATCTTCCTTCTTTACCGAACCGATGTCGCGGATCGATTTATATACTCCAACCGATGAGTACCCGACAAGCCCGCACGCGCCTAGATTCAGTCAGCCAACCAGTCGTCATCTATAATAAAGGCCACTTACCAGCAGCAGGCTTAAAGGCCGCATTCATAACGCCAGTCGCACATCCAGCAGCAAAACCCAGGACACCATTCTTCTCCGCACCATCGATGGGTTTAATTATAAGATCCCTTATGCCATCACTTAGTCCGTAACCAAAGCTCTTGAAGCTGACCAGCAGTCCACTCCTCAACCCAGTCACATTCTCATACTGCCGTACCTCCTCACCATACGCTTTGGGAAGGTTATGGAAACCTCGAGTAATACCATGCATGACAATCGCTGGACTCTTCAGACTGGTGGTGATGATGCGTCCGAATCCTTTGGCAGTACCGAGGGCTACCTGGCGTGCCGCATGAGGCGAGTCTTTGGTGTCTAGAGGACTTGATGGGCTAGCAGTCCCGTCGCGCTTCTCTTTGCGTCTTATCTCGCGCTGCAGTAGCAGTGGTGTTGTTTGTTTTCCCAATTCGACGGGTCCTGCTATGAGACCCAGCATGATTCCGCTTACCACGTCGTAGGTAGTGAGAAAAGCAGCGGATACCGGGTCGGTGGGGTCGTGCTTCATGTCTGAGTATTGAGATATGCTGTATTGGGTATCAGTGCTAGTCGACGTTTGCTGCATGGCGAACGTACCTACAGATGCAAGTCTTTGGGTTGAAGGAGACCCTCTTTAGTGAGCACCGCAGCCGCAAGCGGTGACAGGGCCAGGCTCTTCCGCTTTACAAGCCATACTGCTGGTCTATCGTGGAGGATGCTACATGCTCGTACGCCAGCAAGGCTCACCGTTGCATCAGCTTCTGTGGAGTCGTGTGTCAAGGCTGGAGGGTTTGATGAACGTGTATGCGATGGGTTGTCTTGGTCGCTAACATCCTGTCGCATGTCATACCTGTGCTCTTCTTGAAGACTCCGTGGTTCTGGGCTTGGGAGTGGATCGTATGCTGGTGACTGGTCTTGGTTGTGCTGCTTTTCGTTTTGTGTCGACTCCGCATCTACCGAGATTTCTCCGCCCGCGACCTGTTGAGTGTACTCTGGGAGATCCATGGTGTAGAGGTCGGCATTCTCCGCGGTGGGCTCAACGTGCACCAGAGAGGAGGCATCTGTGTCTGCGGCTGGATAGTTAGTACTCTGGTATGACCGTCCAGTGCTCGGAGTACTTACTAGCAGCACTCCGATCGTCCTCGGCCAAGGTCGTGGTTACGGCAGTCATCTTCTAGAACGTAGGTCTAGAATGGTCGACTTGCAGATTGCGCAGCATGAACTGCGAGCAGTATTACTTATGGTTCAACTTTGCCATCTTCAAGAGAAACTTCTCTATAAGGCCCTACCTCGTAGCCACGCGTGCGGAAGTCTTGGGTTTCCGAAACGGGAAACGCTAGGCCCGAAGTGGTAAACCTTGAGAAGGGCGCAGCAGGCGGCCTGACATGCAACCAAAACCGCCTCGGCGGCCTATCATCAAGGCCGTGAGAATACTAACGAAGTTGAGCACTTGGTGTCACGCTTCTTGTGAGGGTGTGTGTTCCGGGGCTCGCAAGCTCTACCAGATCGCGTAATGCCATAGGTATGCTTTTAGATGTCGTGGGAGCTAAGTTAATATAAGAAACATCGCTGTTAGCGACGTTGTTATTAATTAGCAAGACAGTGTAATTAGTAAAAGTTATAATTAAAGTAATATAATAGAAAAAAGATTAGTCTAGCGTATTACTTTTATACTAGCTACTACTTATATAACTATAATATAGCTAAAAGAGCTTTATAGTTTATAAGAATATATACCTAAAGTACTATTAACTAAACTATAGTTCTACTTTATAGAAGAAAAAAGATAGCCTATATACTTAAATATTAAAGTTAGAATAGGCTAGAATAGACGTAGTAGTAGTAGTAGTATAAGAAACATAGCGAAGAGCTTCTAGTCGACTTAGTATCCTCTATCTAGTTTTCTGCTGGATCAAAGTATAAATGACATGCTTGCGAGGGACTTTGGGCAGATACACGCGTTGCATGTGCTCCCGAGGCTTTCGAGGAACGCGTGAACATTTTGTGATCGATAACAGTACAACCGGCTAGTGATCGCGTCGCGTTTGTATGTACAGTTTCAAGGGTCGTGTGTACAATCAAAAGCAGACGCTCAGAAGGTGCAGCTCATATTGGCTACGTTGACGCGTCAAGATGATGACGTAAGGAAGGTTACGCGTTCGGCATCGCACCGAACACGCGACTGCCTCTTGTCTCCTGCCTCCGGCATGTTCACGACGCGATCTAACACCATCATTCTATCATCGCAAACAGCGGCAACAATCTCCATGGTACGACAATGCGACAGAGTGGGTTATGTGGATCACTCTTTACCCTCATCCGACCGCGACGGGAACCGCAAGCCATTACCAACGCGGCCCTGTCGCAAGGAGATCTGGTGGACGCGACGCCATTTTCGCAGATTCCGCATGTGAGAGACGATCGAGCTCCCTTTCCGCCACTCTCGAGTTATTGCCAGATAATTGGATGCTGAGCCTTGAGATACGCGGGTGGCGCGTAATACGTGGAAGCATATGGGGGATATTGGCCATAGGAGCTCCCAGGGTTTGATTGCGTATCGTCGCCGTGGTCTGGCTGGTCTCCGTCATCAGGAGGCTGTCTCCCACCCGAAGGATCGCTATCTCTGTAGCCGCTCCTTTCATGCCGGTTACGGTCGTTCCGGTCATCCCGTTGCCGGTCTTTATCGCTCTCCAACGTGCGGTATCTTGCGATGGTGTCAGCATATCACACTTGGCCATGACGCCAAAAACTCACTGAGGCGGTATGTGATAACTCGTTGTAAGATATCCGTTACCGCGGTATGCAAAATGTACGGCTCTTTTTGCACTATTTATGAGCATCTCTGCGTCCTTTATTGACGTTGGTTCCCATATTGTGTTGAGAACAATATCCTCTTTCCCGTACATGAGCTTGTGATAGCTGTTGTAGTGAGGCGACCAGATCCACTCTGAGCAGCGCCCTGATCTGATATCGGCTTGGGCTTCTTCCGGTGGACCTGGACGGCTCCAAAGAGTTTGGAGAATGGTGTTGTCATCACCATACTCGTACCTGTAGTAACGACTATAGCTGTAGGAATACTCCCAATCTGGCCAAGGACCCTCATCTCCGCTATCCTTAGTCTGGCTTGGTTCCAACCATACAATATTACCAGAAGCATCGTACTTGTAGAATCGCTTGTGTGGTTCGTACCACTTCCAGGGGACGTGTGTTTCCATCGTATGCAGTAGCGGAGTCTAGCTCGGGGCGCGCCTCGTTATATCGTTTGGCGGGTACGCGGCGTACGTGGCGGGAGGCAATCGCGCTTGCAGAAAAACCAAAGGCTGAAGGACTGCGGTCCGCGCTTTGTCGGACATGCGGTGTCGTAAAGATAAGGTATGTCCACTCGCCGCGACATTGACGGTAACTCATTCACTAACTCGACATGTCTATCCGCAGTTCTTACTATTAAGTCAACCTGAAATACGCCTGGACATTTCTGCACTTAATGAGCGCATGCGTCATGCGGTCTCCTCGGTTGCTCCTACGAGTGTTGTCCCGTGTTGCCAATGAGACAGGCCGTATCTTATTCGTAGGAAAACGCCCCCGTCATGCACGTCTGAACCAATCCAAGTGGTTAGCGTAGCCTGACAAGAATGCGCGCGACCATTGTTGTCAGCATTCAGCCTAAGTGCATGGATGTGCCTCGCCGGCGTTTTCGAGATTCATGCTCGCAGTACGCCCCGGATACAAACGTTGACAACGAGCTCAAGTCGAAGCGACCTAAGAGACTGTGCAACTCGAATGAAGCGAACGTTTATTGAGTTGCTCAGCATTCATGGTAGGAGCGGTTCCTATCACTCACAACTTGCAGCACAGATTCTGTTGTTCTGATAAATCGTGTCGTTCCTCACGCCCGTCCACCTGAGGCTGATGCGTCTGGAGCCCAGGGCACCACTGAACAACTTTGATTTCACGAGCCGAACCACCATACTGCATATTTACTAATGTCGCTTCTGAGCATGCCGCAGACGGGACGATGGAGGGATCATAGCGAGGGACACAGTGAGTGTGCGCTCGACTTTGGGAATCATGTACTAATAGGACGGTAGGCTTTCAGACGTTGCAACACGATTCCTGGCGGGCAGCGCAATGGTTCAAAGTCGGCATTGCTATCAGCCTTACCCTGGCGTCACCCTACGTCCTGCGAATTGTAATCAGTACGATATCGTGTGTCAAATACTACCGCTCGCCAGCAAAGACGCCAAATACTCGCGACGATGAAGCTGCCTGCCGCCTTGTTCCGACCGGTACTGTGAATACTGCCATTAGTACGGAGGGCGGATGGAAGTATTTGGCGTCCTCCATAATCGCCCAAGAACCTTCCTGGGAAGCTCGACATCGCTTCTTTCGCTCCTTTCTTCTTGCATCCGTCTTGTTGGTATTGTATCAATCCATTGTGGGGACAGTGTTGACCGACAACGTTGCAAGAAGCAGATCTGCGTTGTTGAAGTCAGATGTCTGTGGTCTCTACGAGTATGACAACAAGAAAGGAGGTGAAGAGGACGCTGTACGTGCAGATATACTGATGGTGGGAAGAGAACGGCGGGCAGCCGCCTATGCGCAGGATTGCTATGACCCTGACACCAAAGTCAAAGCCACCAAGTGCGACTTCTTCTACAATTCGTCCATCGGGTATGACAGGCGGGAGGACACCTGCCCTTTTCAGCACACCGAAATCTGTGTTGGGCGCTACCAACCCGGCGCGGCCATCACCTTTGACACAAATTTGGTTGATTCAGGAGTACTTGGTATTAACGAGGAGTCTATGCACAAGTTCAGACGCAAGACAACATGTGCACCACTGAGTGCAGATTGGCCTTTCGTGGAACACTTCACCAACAGCAGGACAAACGAGTCTGGATACAGATACCTCTATGGACAGCTCTGGGACACCAAAAATTGCTCAGAAAAAGTGCTACTTTCAAAATACACTTTGCGTATGACTGGCCATCCATTTGAATGGCAAGCGCCTGTTTACAAAGTCGAGTAAGTTTGGAGGCGAGACCTCTGGCTGCTATTAAACGTGCCTAAGAAACTTATAGTACCTACGCCACATCGTTACTCGACACGGCTTGCGACTTCTATCAGCCTTCAAAATACCTGAACACGACAGGGCTACTGCAAGACATAACCAAGACTTTGAGTCTCTTTTTCGTGACAACCTTACGTATTCTTTACACTAAACCAAGTTACGACCCAATCTTCAAAGCCGATAAAGCCTTCCGGTACCATGGTGATCAAAGCGATTACTACTACAACTCCCAGCCAAAAGCAAGAGCCTTCGCCTGTATTGATGAGACCATCTTCTGTGCACCTTCGGGGTCGCCATGTTGGCATGCAAATGATGCGGTACCGGATGGCGGGTACACTACACCATCCTACTGGCTCTTGAAGTACGCATTGAAGAGCTCGAATACCTACGACGCCATAAAACTTCGTCTCGGTAGTGGACTGTTGGCCCAAGAACGAGTCGGCCAATCTCGATCCATGCCACTGCCTGATGACCATTGGCAGCATGAGGCTGAGCACTTGTTCAAATCATCTCTTGCAAGAGCCCAGTTCGACGCTTGGAGTATTGCAAGTGCGGAAGACCACGACAATCCGACGTATACTGATACGCTACCTGATGAGGCGAAAGGAAAGATGTGTGGCCTCTTCAAGTTCCAAGCGTCTGGCTATGTCAACATTGCCATAATACCGTTCGTATGGTTGATGTTGGCATGGCCGATAGTGTTCCTCTTGAGCGTAGAACTCAAGACATATGTAGCAACACGGTACTTGGCCAAGTCTTGGCTTGCTAGTATGAGGAAAAAATCGGCACAGGCCGATGCAGGATCAAGTGCGACGACGGAAACAGCCATAGACGGCGTTTCCCAAGAGAGCGCCGCGGCAGATCAGAACACATCCTCAACACCAGTTGTTGTAGTGACCATTTCACCGAGCCATGGTGTACCAGCTGATACGACAGTGTCATATGAGACGGCAGCACCAGACGAGGCTACACCACCAGATGAAGCCACAGCAAGCGAAACTCCTTCGGCATCGCCAGATCATCCACACGCAGAGCCAACACCAGGCACAAGCTCCACGACCAATACAACCCTGCAACCGCCAGATGCATCGACGTCAACG